AATTCACTCATTTTCAATTGTGCATTGAGAACAAACAGTTAAGATTACTTATAGTTCTTAGATTACCTCATATCCTTACCGTCATTTATGTTTTTAACAAACGTTTTCACTAAAAAGCTGATACTTCGTTTTCGTTTTCGCAAATTATGTATATAATAAACACAATACCACATGGAAAGTGATTTTTACGGTATTTACGCACTCGTTGTTTTTGTATCAGAAATCTTACTCGTTCGCTGCGCTCACTTGTTCGATTTCTGATACGTCAACAACTCGTGCGTAAATACCGTACTCCAGCACTTTCCATGTACGGGACCCATGTGGGCCCAGTATCCTTATAGTCTGCTACACAGCCGTTTTCAGAGTCGTCACGCAACGCTCCTCCCCACTAACGGCTGCTGAAAACCGAACTACATTCCTTCCCGTGATTAGCCAATTATAATTCAGCTCCCATTTTCTGGAAGGTGTTCGCGCTACGTTTGCGGTACTGTGACACCTCCAATCACAGATTTGCTTTTATCGCTGCCCCATGTGTGAATGACAGAATAATCAAAATCGTCGCGTGAAAACAAGCAATTAACTACAGTAGTGTTGTCGTATTCGAGTCCTATTCAAAATTTAGGAGATATGCAGCAGCAGCAAGCAAGTCGAGCAAATTGCGATGCACAACATGGACGTGCTCATAAAGTTGCGAGGTATAGTTTCGGGAAATCCCTCATCAATAATTTATAAGATTGCTTTTTGAATCAGTACCCTTGAGAGTTTAGTTTAGTCTTCACAAGAACACAATGAGCACATCCGGCACATTAAATTCTTCATTACATATCAGTACATATGCACGTTAAATGAAGAACCAACCGATCCTGGTGAAAGTCTTCTAAGCCTATCAAACCTTTTTTTCGCTTGGAACTTTCTGGACCGCTTAAAACAAACTTTTTTGCGAATTAACCTTTTCGTTGCTTGCAAAAACAGAGCCCGTCTAAGACCCTGTTTACATGGAGTGCGGGACCCGGTCTAATGGGGTAGGTTTCTTTTGTTTTGTGTCCCCCAGAGCGTGAAAACAAAAGAAACCAACACCACTAGACCGGGGTCCCCCACTCCATGTAAACAGGCCCTAAATTCAGCGACGATTGATTGATCTGTCGAAAACTGAGAAGCGTGCTCGCTTCCTAGCGCCCTGCGGCTCACGTATTGTTGAATTTCTTACACATGATTGGTTTGTTCGTTAAACCACAAACACAAAGGGAAAAAAATGTAGTTCGGTTTTCAGCAGCCGTTTGTGGGGGGGAGGGGGAGTATCCTTACTGTTTTTACTATAATTAAATAAGCCTGAAAAAAATTCAAGCTTGTAGGGAATTCTAACCCTTGACCTCTGCGATACCAGTGCATCGCTCTACCAGTTAAGCTAACAAGCCAACGGGGAGCAGGTCGTTGAATTGGTTCGTTATAAACCCGTGAAAGGATGATGATTTTTTTTTTCAGGCTTTCTTTTCGCAACTGCAAAAGTTGCTTGTATAACAGCGATGATCATACTTTATTTAATTCTTCACTCCGCAGTTCATATATATGATTTTCATATATTCATGACTTCATCATCATCCTTTCACGGGTTTATAACGAACCAATCCAACGACCTGCTCCCAGTTGGCTTGTTAGCTTAATTGGTAGAGCGCTGCACCACAAGCCTGAATTTTTTTTTTCAGGCTTTCTTTTCGCAACTCCAAAAGTTGGGTGTATAACTGCGATGATCATACTTTATCTAATTCTTCACTCCGCAGTTCACATATATGATTTTCATATATTCATAACTTCATGTTTTTACTATAGTTAACGAGATCTTCTACTGAGAAGTGAAAAAATAGTTTATTTACGTAATTCCGTTCTAATTCGCTTTGTTAACCTCTGATGTTCACTTTATTTGAAGCCGTCCTTGAGAAAAAAGTAGAACACGCAACAAACATTATCAGTAAATATTGCAGTAAAATGACGATGGCATACAAACGTATTTCAACAAAAGTCATCGGACTTGATGAGTTGCACTGATAGGATATTCAGTAAAATGTCAATCTTCTTTGCTGAATGATCTGAAAATAGTTAAAAATTGCCATCAGCTTCAATGGATCCTAAGCATTCTGAAAAAAACGAACAAATTTCTCGCGTTTTTGTCGACCCTCTTCAGTTTTATTGATGTCGTCTTG